TTTGAAAACCTGATTGAACCCTGGATATCACACAAGATTAGCTAACACGCATATATAATTTGCCTTATACTTTAAAAAGCCTCGTGTTGTGTACCAGGTTGCTCGAGGCAGTTTTGTCCGACATGTAATTGTGAAAGAAACCATTTAGCTTTAGAGTAGGGGAATAGTACGAGCTATTCTATAGCATTATTATACGAACTGGAACCAATGATAGATCGACAATAAGGTAACCGGGCCTGAATAATACAGCTATTTTTGAAAACAGCCTTAAAAATAGACAATCAACAAGTCAATGGGTATGACCGATTTCTTGAGCAGATAATTTCCACATAGCCTGGAGTAACCAAGGTAGACACCTAAAATTCATGAATCTGGGATTTCCAACCGCCTCAGATATTGAATATTGACATCACAGTAGCAAGGGCAACATCAAAAGAAAGACCACCCAGACTAGAGTCCTAACTCAATCACGGAAGACATCATGGTTGTACCACAAAGCGCAAAGAAAGCACAAGTTATGTCCCAACACAAGATATGCTAGCAATAGTTTACAAGCAGAGATCCCGGCTGCCGGACATTACTCAGACTAACATGGTCACGGACTGAGTTACCTAGATAGGTAATGTAATCCATTAGAATAGACTCATCTACTAAAAGGTAGATCAAATACCATACTTGAATGATAGAGCAGTATAATGCAATTGCATCAAGTGTGCATTAGCGTGCCTAAGTGAGATGTGGAGCTCTTAGATACCCGGGAACTGATATGCATTGACAGGTATATCTGATGCCTGGCATCTCAATTATTCTCCTTTGTTTTTCTTCGCGACACTGCATGTGTAACACGCATGACCCAGTGCTCTAGGTCATAAGTATTTTGTGCACAAGGACTAGCTGATGTATTTATGTACTGCTTGCTTCTGCTCGTGCAGACCTATGATGGACAGGGGAAGACTGTGACACACAGACAAAGATGTGACTCGATACCATAGACATGTCATTTTTAGGTGCACATAATGTACACAGTTGCATATCACTGCTAGTTGGGGTTGGTTTGTCAATAGACAAGCACCTGGTCGGTACTAGGTGTTCCGCAGTGGTACGCGCTAGGCAACATAGTCCTCAAGTCTGTAGATGTATTTCCTCTGTACCTTCATCAGAAACGAATAAGCAGTATCGAACCTGTTTCTGGTCGGCACACAAAAGCCCACACTCCCTATGAACCTATAAGCACACCTACGCTCGCAACCCCGCACTCTTACGTATAGGATTAAAAACACGGCTTATATATATTATATAGTACAGTAGCTGTTATACAAAATAATACAAGCGGCTATCTCGTCTACAGAATAACGCTAGTCCACAATAAAATAAACCCCCGGGCGAAGATCCCAAAAAGTGAGCATGCAAATGTCAAAAAAGCCATCCCGGTCAGAGTAAGCGGCGCTATTGATTTTAGTACACAATAGGTATCGAACGGTGGGTCTGTCGATCTTTCATCTGGAAATAATGTGACAAGATTCAATAGTTTGTGGGAAACTTGGACGGGATCAAACCAAGATCGTGGCAGTCGGTTAATAGCGTGGAGCATCTACGGAGGAAATGAATTATAAATAAATAATATGACATGATTCAAGTTAGATCAAAGGGTTCGGTTTCGGTTTCGGTTTCAATTCCCACTTCAACGCTAGGACCGAAATCCAATATGTGACCGGGTCAGACCATACCACATATATAACATATTATACTGCTCCGCGTACTCCGTAGTCCAATTCAATTATTCACAAATATGTACAGAGTACAAAATAAGTACCCCGATGTAGTCCTAGTAGTCGTCCGGAGTATACGGTGAGACTCAAGCTCGCACGAACCTACCCATCGATCTACGCACGATCATCGCAACCCAAATCCTGACATGAGACAGCTCACAAATCCCGCAGTTGACACCTCCGATGGAAAAAAAAAGCAAAGCCCACACATCCCACCTTACCAAGCAGGGACGTTATTGTGATCGACACGCACGTCCCCGATCGAGGGCTGAACACTCATGACAGCGCAGAAAGGAAGACGCACACACACGTAGCACTCAACATCTATGTACGACGTACGGAGTAACGGAGCACATGTACGGTACTTGCCTAACATAACTCCAGATGTGCATATGTACTTGCACACAACGAAGTGTCAGACGCCGAATTCACCGCTATATGATGGGTCGGATGCATGTATTTGGATCCCGAATGGCTTAGTGGGGGTGGACAGGACACTGATAGGGAGTTCATTCGTGCTAGGGAGGATACCAAGGGCGGGAACGGGATCGGAAAGCGTAAGGCGCAGAACCGGGGTTTGGTTGGGGCTTTTGTCTTGGGTTTGTTGACAAGTGACAGAGGCAGGGTTGCGAAGGTACTCAACGGTAAGGGGGGTGGATGAAGGTTTCCATGTGCTATAATTCGATCAAGCTCGACCAAAAGCTGAATGTGTGCATGCTGCACGACTTTTGTTGGGTGCGTGTTTGGGTTTCAAATCGGCCAGTCGTGGTCGCCGGAGATACTGGATACACTAGATACCGGGGTTTGGACCGGTGGCTTGCATATCCGCTTCCCACTGATGTGGGACTAGGTTACGGGGTTCACTTCCTGTTTGTATAGATCCCGTATGAGGGTATGAGATGCTTGCTTTTTCGGGGGGTTACTTTTCATGATGTCGAGGTACGTCGCGCATTCTAGATGTGCATATTTTTGGTATCTACTTCTTTGCAGCAGAATAATGTACAATATACGGAGTGTGGAGTACATAGATGTAACTGCAACCCTGACCGCGATTTTTTTCTTCTTTCGCGTATTGGATATCACTTTTACAATATGAGTTCAACCAAGGGGGTTGCAGTCCCCTAACCGGAGTCTCAAATTTGGATATACTATGTATGTACTTCGTACGGAGTACATACTGCTAAGAGGTCGTAGAACCTACATCGTATATCGTGCCCAACCCTGCAAAGGATTCCACTTTACTCGGTAATATGACCGAAGCCTAAGATCTGCAGCCAAGTAAGTTTTTTTTGGGGTCATCTCAGGACCCCATAAATGTGTCTTCCGGGGGTAGGTCGGGGAAATTAGAAAAAGTAAAAATGAAACAAAAAATGAAACAATACGCATAACACGTCTCCCACAGATCTCTCTACTAGCAGGTACAATATTGTAATAGTAGTACTCCATAATGTGATGTTGAAGAAAATCCTAATTTAGATCTCGGGTCGGAACTGAATCTGAAAGGGCTGGGAAGCAAGAAACTCCTAAAGGGGATAGTTGATATTTCACAATAAGCGATATACGGTTCAGCCTATCACTGGCCATTATCATAAATGTTTAATTAATATGCTTTAACTCCACATCGAAATGAAGTCTGATTACAATATAAATACTTCAATAAAATAAGGCTTCAGGGCTTTCAGAAGGCAAAATGCCCGAACATGGCCCGTTTAGGCATCAGATCGTATCTGAATTCACGTGGCACAAAGTAAAGTCAGTTCCATGGTCTGGAGTGGTTGCTGTGAAATCTGTGAAATCTGTGGATTTGTAGGTTTGTTAAAATGTGGACTCGGAGGGACCGAAAAGTCGAAGTTTAAGTCGGGCGCCATGCAGCTGTCAGTTCACGTCAATTTGGAATTAATTTAAACCTTGAAAGTTTGGACTTTGACTTTATTATAAACATGAGATTCAATGCAATGCAATGCTTATAATATATCAGAACAGATCAAATCATACAACATAGCTACTATCCTAATCCAGACTCTAACTGTCAAAAGCTTAAAAGGACCCTAGCCCTAGACCATGGTAACGAGGTTGATAGTTGGTAACTCGACGTCATGAAATCAAAACTCAAAAATGGGGTCGATTTTGACATATTCCCAGGTTGAGCATGGAGTATGCTGTATGTACTCCGTACTGTTATATGATATCCACTAGTTTACGGGTCTATCAATTTGGAATTTAGTGGTTCAAACCATGGTTGAGTGTTCTCCCACCGGCCCGAAAACCACCGACTTTAGGGAAATGGTATAGCTGGAGGGAAAAAAAGATATTTTTGATATCCATCTTGATCTGTAAAGGGTATATCCCCCCCAGACTCACAAGACCGTGGAGAGAGATCTATCCTCAGCGCCGAAAGATAAAAAGAAAAGTGGCACCACAAGCCGCGGGTAGAATAAGATCCACGTTTCCGCGGGACGCGAGCAAAGAAAATGGATTAGTGTCGATGGAGACGAAGTGGAGACAGGTTGCGCGGTGGGCAGCTGAGATCTGGTTGCGTACAACATACTCCGTAACTCCATATTGCTTGACCTTTCACATCCACATTGGCGCTTATATGGAGAAAGTGACAAATGTCAGAAAATAAATTAAAATAGAATTGTTTTTTTTTTTCATGCAGATTTGAAAGTCAAAAGATCCTTTAAACACCTAGTAATGCAATTTTCGCGGGTTTTGTCCAGGGCACTCAATGCAATGGAAATGGGGTGCAACAAAAGAAAAGAAAACCACAGAGGAAATCATAGAAATGATTTAATGGGATTCCCAATGCCATAGTTTGTCGTATACCCTTTTTGCCTGGTGATTTCCAACAAAATAAGTTCCCGCTTGGTAAACGCGACCAAAGAGAAAGGGTATCAAAATATAATGTCTGATCAAAGTCTCCGTACCGGACGGCAATGCGACATGTAGAGTGAAGTCGAGTGACCTGGAAGGTGAGAAAGGAATAAAACAAAACAAAACATTAAAAGAACACATAGGAAAAAGAAAGAAAGAAAATGTCAGTCTATCGAGCTTCGCCGTAATCCTCAACCCCATGTCTCGTAAATGGTAGGGATATAAAAGCCTCCCAGTCGTAAAATGAATAAAACGCCGACGTTGCGTATGCCGTATAACGTTGAAGAATGAACAGAAAGAATGAAAAAAAAAGGCCGTGATCAAACCCGAACCTCTAGGTCCAGGTTCATCGCCACTCTAGTGATGAGGAGAGGGCATGTGCTCCGATCCATCGACATCACTAAAAGGTGACTGTCGTTGAGACTCCGTATCCGCACCACTGCGCATTTGGTTCCGTAGTGCAGGAAGCTGTCGTCTCCGAGCATTGATAAACCAGTTACTAATCTGTATTAAAAAAAAGATAGCATTAGCAAACCATTCACAAACCAATTGCCAGTCCAGTTTGTAAGAATGCTCACCTGACTAATCGAAAGCCCCGTTCTTGTCATGAACATTTGCTTATCCTCCTCACTCGGATAAGGATGATCAAGATGCTCATGGAACCAAGCCCGCAAAATGTCTGTGACAGGCTTGGGCAAATTCCCCCGTCTCCGCTTCGTCTTGGGATCAATCGGGTCCCCCATGATCCCGAAATTCCCTTGCCCATGCCCCATCATCTGTGGTGACATCTGCTCATCCCCGTACCCGGTAGCAGGGTGGCCAAACGGCGACTGAGGGTGCATGATGGGCTGGGCAAAGTGCTCGCCGCGCGGATCTGCGGACATGGCTGCTGCCGTCGGCCCGGGCTGGCGGTATTCCTGCGCGACAAAGGGGTCGGAGCGTGGCGGCCGCTCGGGATACCCGGTGCTGGAGGATGGGTTCATTGCGCGGCCGGGGATGGAGTCCAGGTCGCGGATTGGGGGCAGAATTGGGCTGGGACCGCGGGATGCGTTCTCGGGTAGATGCATGTGGTGGCCTGGTTCTGGCATGCGGGGTTGGTGATCTGCGCCGCGGGAGACTGTGTATTCGCGGTGAGAGTCGTACGGCATTTGGTTGGGTTGATTGCCATATGGGATTGAGCGGGGGTCGGCCGTTTCGTGACCCGAGGGTGGGCGGTCTTGTGAGTGGCGGGGAGTGGTGTAGAATGGGGAGGTTGATTCGATTTCATCGTGGAGATGGGCTGGAAGGAGCTGGGGGGATGTTAGATATTGATTCCAGGTTGCATTTCTTGGAGGGATTTAGAGTTATATCTTACCTCGCGGAACGAGGGGAGGGTTTGGTGAGGGTGTCCGGTTGACGATTGGGTTGTATACGAAATAGCCATATTGGTATCTTCGTCTACCTCATGGGACTGTGACATAGACAAGGTATTTGGGGAGGGACAAGAATAGAGAGGTCTGTAGGTAAAGAGTTTCACAATGTATTATAAAATAGAACTATACTCGACACAGTCAGAATCGAATATCAGACGGGAAGTTTTGTAGTTTCGAAGATCGAGATTCCCCAGAAAAGGTAAAAAAGGTATAAAAGGGAAGGGATGAGGGGCGAAAGTATCCAAAGAAGCACTCACCAGGAAAGCAGGCTGATTTTACGTTGACATGGTAAAATTAAAAAAAAAGAGAAAGGCCAAGATTATATGCAAGGTTGGGGAATGAGGGCAAAGATGGAAATGTGGTTTCCCAAATAATGCAGGGCCCCGTACATTATTTCAACTAAAAAAAAAGTGGTCCCAAAATCTACTCTGTACGGAGTACATTAAAGTAAATTAAAAATAAAAATAAAATAAAAATAAAAAAGAACCAGCTATTACATGTCCATGGAAAAGCAAGAACAGGGGGGGCCGAAAAATGACGATCGTGGGCTTGGTGGATACATGAAGTCGGAGCACCAGCGCTCCGTGTTAAGAGCATGCAGAGCGGAGAAGAGGGCGTAAATCTTGAGAAAGGTGCGGGTTCCTTAAGGTTGACAGATAGAGTCTTTCTTTGGTTGTCAATGGAATAGTCTTAGCGTCAGGATCTATCAGGATCTATCGCACGAACTACTCCCCGGTTCCATATATGGTAGGTATTTTAAGAGTTCCAAGGTTTTGATTGGATGTTTCGGAGTAAAGGAATTTTTGAAAGAATTAATTGAAAATCGAATACGGAGTAATAATCACAAAAGTAATAATAAAAGTAACTGTGGTTCACTAGTGGACGTCAAATTCGGGGATCCCATGTCAGTGCTTATAAGCGGCCAATGTTTCTATTTACCCTAAAAACTAGATCTTTCAAGGTCCTTTGAAACCAAACTAATGACAAGACAGAACAGTACACTTGGAAATTAAAATGTATAATAGAACAATAAAATAAAAAAATCCATTGTAGGAAAGGTTGGGGAAGAGGGGATGTCCGGCAGACAGCCACAGGAGTAAGGAGGGGGGGGGGGAATTCTGTCATAATGTGCCTGAGTCAGGCTAAAGTTAATTACCTTGTATTCTGTAATTAAATATATTTTAAATCGAGTCACATCCACATTAATTTTTCTGTGGGGGATCTGAGAGAGGTACTCCCCTCGGAGTAGTTCGTGGCAAAATGCATACGGAGTACAGGAAAGAAACATCCACTCCCACGGAAGAGGAAAGAGACAACTAGAGCGTCCAGTCCGAAGATAACAACCAAACCTCTCTCGTATGGTTAAAAAAAAAAAGCAAAAAAAAAAAGAGTCCAAGGTGGATCTACTAGACAGACACCGAACCGAAGGAAAAGATCGCCGCTCCAAGATGAATTGTTACTGGTTCCAAAAAGATCGTGTTCCGAGGAGAGCTTGACCCGGATGGTGGGTACAAAAGAGAGAGAGAGGTTCTGGATTTCATTCGGACGAATCAGAAATTGCATAGGTGACGCCTCGGATCGATCGCAGATTGCCTAGAGCCTCTCATCGGTGGGCACGGTGATTGATCGACCAATCTGAAAGGGAGAGGGGCTGGTATTGGTTTACAGGGATAGATCGCCTAAGGATTCTTCAATTTGTATCTCCACTTCTTCGAGAGCTTGTGGCGTCAGGACTTTTTTTTTTTTTTTTGGTTTCGGGATTTCTTTTCTGTCTCCGTATGTCAGATCAAGGATCACCCGGAGAACCCACTTTGGTTTTTCCCTTTTTCCCCCCTCCTATTTTCACGTTATGCACTCGTGAGCTGGTGACTTTGTGGCTGCTCATATGATTGGAGTAAAGAAATGCTCGCATATGATATCTCTTAGGTGTGTCGCATTTTAGGTACTTCGCTTGTCACCGATCGCAGATTGAGTGATTTGCGCTAACTGGGGGTCATTGGATCTTTGCCTCGCGTATCGCCTCCATATACGATGTAATCTAGACCACTATGTATATTCCGTGTTCCCGAGCAGTTTCTCAGCTTGACACCATATTGCACTAACAGACCCGCTCTAGAAACTAGTCATATTCCGACAATTCAATAATGCCGCAAACCTGTCATGTTTGGAGATCCCTGGACTAAACGCAAGCTGAGGGTGATCAAGCCCCGTGCAAGCCAGCCAATCAGATCGTAGCAATGGAGTTCCTTTTCCTCGATTTTTCTGTGATTGGATAGGTTCCTGGTGAATCCTGTGGCACAATGTACTGTGAAAAAAGTGTCAGAATACTATCATATTGGAATTGTTGTCAATCCCCTGTACGGAGTACTCCGTAAGTACAGCCCTATATCATGACCCCTACGGAGTACAATACCCGTCTATATCTGACACCCGAGTCTATTTTCTTCAAAGTTTGGTAACCGAACTTAACACCGCAGTCACCTCGGGCCCTAAGGTATGGCCTATGTTGTATGTCCTTTAGGCCCGTATTGTATTCGAGTTAAAATTCGATCCACCCATCAAAAAGGAGGATCCATTTACTAAATAAAATGAAACCGAGAATTATTCCGATCGGAAATGGAGTCAGCCTCGAAGCTTCGGATCTACCGAGACTTTTCTTTGATTCGCTGTTCCAGAGATCTGGTTTGAGAAAATAAGAACGTCAAAGTTTGATTTCATGAAAATTCTCAAAGGTCATCCATACCCCTAAGCTAACAAGGAAAAAAGGGGAAAGAGAAAAAGAAAGGAAATAAAGAAAGAAGTTGAAATCCCAACCGATCATCATACCTGCCATGCCCTGAGGCCCCATTCACGAGATCAGAGATCGTGCATGAAGGAATGCAGATCATCGGATCTCGCAGGCAACCAGGATCCCTGGGAAAAATGACTGGTCCAAAATGCGGGTGATTGGTCGTCTCAAAGCTTGGAGCGCTATTAGAGGGGAAATTGGAGAGGGGTAAACATACAACTTGCCTCTGGCTCTTCTTGCATACACTTTGGGTCTGGATACCCTAGCGTCGGAGGAATTACTCCAGATCGGTGGAAACCATATACTTGATCCATGGATGCATGCAGTATTTGTCATTTCCGTTTCCCGGTGCTTGGGTCTACCGGGGGTTTATTTTGTATTTATATTACTTGTAATTTTACATTATATTTTATTATTTTATTATCTTATTATCTTACCCGGGTCCAATTTTGGGGTGTTCAACCTTATTTCATTATTCTGACATTTGAGCTTCTATTTTATCTATTACGGAGTATAAGGATTCGAGATACTGAATTACTCAGAATTCCTTCTACAAGCAACTCTTTGGTGAACTGCCGAAAGGAGGTCCAATTATTCATTTCTTCTTTCTATGTGTGTATCAGAAAACAACTGCCATTGGGGCATAACAAAATATGCCTAGTGAGGCCCATAGCAGTATGCTACATAATACTAGTACTCCATAGCATAGTAACACAATAATACAACCTAAGGCACCTCAAAAGAGCCCTCTGCATAAAGCCAACCTCAAATTAAATGTCTACACCGTTAATAGGTGCGTGCCTTCCGGCATATGCCTGGCTAAAATCTGGACAATCCGAATTGTTTGCTTATTTGGCTGCCCAAAACAACATAGACTCGTGTCACCGTAGGAGTATTCATGCATGATTTAGATGTGCCAAGGGTATAGTTCATGACAAGGCCACCAATCCCTCACCGTCATGCGAGGTGACATAGCCGACTCTTTTTTTCTATTGGTTCAATTAATACTTTATTGATTTTAGATGGAGCCTTGCCTTTTTAAATGACGTAGGTGGGTGTCAGACCTCTCTTTCTTGAACGGGTAAGGCACTTAGGCAGGGTCCGGATATATAATTCCTGTACCCATGGATTGATATGACTTGCTGGACGTAACAAGGCGTAGCGACCGACCGGAGCTCGGGTGATGGATCGGTGGTTATGATGCATTAGTGCCTGACTGGGCGCTATAGACGGTGTCGACAGTACTTTGTTTCTTTGTCTGCTTTCTGCTCGGCAAGAGCTTTGCTACCCTTGTCGGCTACCCTTGGAGCCGAGATCCCGTCACCTTACTCGATTAGGAAAGACCCCGATTCAATGTGAGATGTCAGAACCATCACTTCCTGCTACTTCCTGGTACAATATCATTGGCGGTACAGGCAACCACATATTTTAGTCTTAAATGGCACTCGCTTCATTTTTGAACCGGAAGATCATCTTTGAGTACGGAGTAGCGAGGAAGATATGGTTATCCTATTTATCACATGTCCTAAACAGGCCACCCAAACTCGATCCCGAAATATACCTGCAACGTCCCATCCCTGGAGACTCTTTCACCAAGAGTAATATGGTAACAGTCTCAGCTGATAGGTTACGTGCTTAACAAAGCGAAGGAGACATAAATCAAGTTCAAGCGCTTGGATTGTTTCCTATCTACAGGAAGCACTAATGTGCAAGGATGGCATTACATTCATACTCGCCGGCGTAGCCGCGCCATCCTAGCAACCCCGCATTGTGGTGACTATGCCAACGAGGATGGTACCAAGCTTACGGTTTATATTGTAGGCCCTCTTTGAACCTTTTGACATCATAGTATCATTGCCCAAGGCTATAACAATTTGGTCCCGTTGAATGATCCCCAGCAGAAATCTCCGAGAATTGCCCCAGCTTCGAACAACATTCCGCGCCTGTAACTCGTCTGTTCGGGCGTTGCTTCCACAGCGGTAAAACGTCTCTCTCTCACACCATCGGAGAGAAGTCTCCAGCCTGCAGCAGGTGACACAACAGCGCATCCTCGGCAAAATATTGCCCAGTTTTGTTTCTTTATTCTTCCACTTATTGAGCGCAGCAATTGTACCCTACGAAATTGCTGATATACCTGCTCTTCTTCTGATCAAGCTCATCAGTGATATCGTCAGATACTCCTGAGCAAGAGTTTAAACTTCGATATGAACTTGCTGTAGCAAACTTTGAGACAAAGAGTGAGTGTTGACGCTTATATTTCGAGTTTGTTTGCCTAGTGTTTTTTTCTTGGCTGGTGTGGAGGCTGGTTGAAGAAGAAACAGAACTGGTTCGGTGGCCGCTGTAGATGGCGGCTTCACCAGGTCTTTGTGAGATGTAAGAGTATCAGGCTACGAAATAGCAACCTCACAATGGACAATAAGAAGCAGTGGCGCATCCACGACGCCCTTCCTTGATTTAGAAGTGTGACTGTCAAAGCTCACAAAAGTAGAGAGAGATCATTACTGTGAGCGCTTCTTGCGCGCCCAAGGAGGTAGTAAAGGGGAAATTGAAGTATGAGAGCCAAGTCTGGAAGGTGGTAAGGCAGAGAGAGGGGGAGAGAGACAAGCTCTCAGAACTAGTTAACTACACCTCAGGCGCCAGTCTCAGCAATACGGAAGAAGCAACTGAATCTCTATCCCGAGATCTTATTGTCGGCTTAGAAATAGCAAATAAACAGCCAGGTCTGATCTCTAACACGAAGAAAGTGCCACATAATCTCAGCAATGGAGACATGGGCGTTTGGTTCCTTCCTTCTATGGCGATAAACACCTCGTTAGAGAGCGATGGGTGTTTTTCATTTCATCTTACAGCCTGATGCTCAAGGTTTGGCGCGCATACTGAGGGACCTTCGGATCCCACTCGATTCGAGATTTTCTCCAAGCCTTTCCCAGAGTTTTTGAACTTCTTGTCCTGTGAGATCGGTAATGAAAAGGAGGTCTGGACGATGAAGCACAGATCGAGGTTGCACACCTGGGATGGTGGCTTCGATAGTGGAGTAGAAGCGACCAGAACGTGAACCACGGGGGGTTGAAGTTATAGTGTTTACAGAAATTGTGATGAAGAGAAGGTCTGTGTCTATTTCGTGTTGTGACATTTTGACAGCAAGTCGTTAGGGAAGAAATGTGTGTGATACTCATTACTTGAAGATGGTTGCTTGTTCGAAGAATATCTGCTAGGCATTCACCTTCTCTGGACTGCCTTATATATCCGGGACGAAGGAAAGGAGCAGCGATTAGTCCATACTTTATCATCTAAAGATGTCCAAGAGGTTGTAAATTAGACTACTATATTGTACGAAGGAAGAACTTTGAATCAAATGAACATTAATAAATGGTATTCAAACGACCCGAAAATAGTCTTCCCATCTCAGGAATACCTCTATAAAGTCTTTGATTTTCGCACCAGGCGATCAATCATATTCTAGTACAGCAGTGAGGGTGCTAGACAACAGATCGACGAAACTTAAGGCTGCTCCTTTAGTCGTAAGAAGCAAGACATTGCTCTCACCATGAGTTGCTAGGTCGTGCAGCCAACTATCAACGCTGACGACGGATGTACTGATTTTGGGGTGCCTTTGGTCCTGAGTATCACACTCGCATAAACCTTGAAACCCCATATCGGCCGCGATTGGGATCAGATCTGGCAGCAGTGTTTCCGAGGGATCCCGCCACTCTTGCGTCTGTAACGCTGAAGACAAAGAGTGGGAAGAGTTGTATTAGAGAAAGAAGACTAGAACTGGTTGACTATGTTGTAGTTGTTTAGTTGTTCTGATATCACAGGCCACTGGCCTGAAATATCGGGCATCAGAACCACCTCTAGGCACCCATCTCAAGGTTCCCATGCTCGGATAGCTTGTTGAGTTGGTGTTTCTAGATTGCAGAACTATATAGGAATTGTCAAGGCAGCCTTACTACCAAAGGTGGATAGGACCCTTCCTTTTCATTTAGATCAATTCTCCTTCCTCTTTTTCTCTCTTCCAGTTATCTGTTCTTCTGTTCAATCCAATCCCAAGTTCTACCTGGTCTTCTATACAGAAACCCGTCTAGCTGTTCATGCTGTAGATCATCATTTTAACTGTTTCTATCTGCCATTAAAAAGTCAATAATCAGTGCGTAACATTTTGATCATGTCATCATGGTTGCATTGGCTATGCTTCACTGCCCGACTGGGGCAGCCTTGGCCCTGGAGCCTGATACAGAAATGAGGACTTGTGAAACGGCCCCCACGGGGCTCGATCCTCTACTCATCTCTTCACACAAAAAAAAGCACACAGAGAGAGCTCATTAGTATTACAGTTGGTTTTTTTATCTCTTTGTTCAAATGTACGAATAAAATGGAGGGTTGACCAGTGCATTTGTGCTCGGTATCATCACCATCAATTATGCCAAAGTGGATGATCCGGCTTTAATCGGGTGCCCTACACATGTCCCTTTACGGCTGAGCCAATGAGATCGTCTCCTAGTATTTTTAGCTGCATGCCCAGATGTTTAGCCTGGCGGGATGTCAGCTCATTTGCTGGGCTGAGTTTATGCGGGGTCGGCCCCCTGATAGTTGGGCTGATGCGGCTTAAAGGGACCCTTTTCCCACTTGTTTTCTTTCTCTTGATTCCAGTATCTCTACTCATCAATTACTTTGACAGTTTGAACCCTTTCACAAAAACGAAATTCATAATGCGTGTCACTTTGTTTCTCTCAACGGCACTAGCTGCTCTCGTCACTGCAGAAGAATCAACCAGAATCAACTATTTCGGCGGTGGAATGCAATGGGCTCATCAAATTCAGCTTCACCCATGGACCAGCACAGCTGCCAGCGTCGCTGGGATCAATGCCATCGCCACTACCTACGAAATCAAATGCCTGAGCAATGCTCCCAAGTCTGATTGCGAGATCGCTACACCCTGGACCATGATCCAGGGCCCCAAAACCTACAGTCTCACAGGTGTATACACCAGGTCGGGCTCAGGAACGGTCAATGCTGTGACTGGAACCCAGAACTTTGATTGCACTTTCACCAAGGCCACCGACGCTCCTTCCTGTTCATTTAGCGCGAAGGTCACCGGCACCACCGCAGGTGTTTCGTACTCTACCTCCACCTCCACATCCACCAAGAGCCTGCCAACCAAGTCCTACACCTCATACGGGATCGATGTCACGGGGGGAGCAGCTTCATTCACTGCCAGCCAGGCAACCAAAACTCCCAATGGAGGAGCTGCCATGGTTACTGCTGCGCCAATGGGAGCAGCTGCTGTCATGGCGATTGCTGCCATGCTCTAGTGCTTCGCTTGTGAAGCCTTTGCATCCACTGTTCTTATTTTACCTGAAAATTGACTGGGAAATGTTTTGATGAAATACCCCAAGCATACGATCGATTGCAAATTTTATATTCTCATGTTATGTTTGCTTTGATGTTCTACCTAGCCTTTTAGATAAATTTGATTCCATTGTCTCAACAACATTGCTACTTTCTCTTATTAGTGGATGGACAGATGGATGAATGGAAATGATTATTTACCCTGTCCATTTTCTGAGCGATGTACAGGCTAACATTGTCGTGTAAGTATTGATTGTGCGGTTCTAAGTTTCCAACGGTAGGCAAACTTTGAGCCTCATCTGGGAAGATTGATGTCTCCACTAACCTGTAAAAAGGCTGGAATTCTCCATGACCTCGCGTTGATAGGCTCTCTGCGCAATCAAGGTGCAAAAAAACTTGTTGATTGATATATTTCAGATATTCTGTCGCTATGTGAGGGCATTGACAACATAAATCTGCAGACACATGAGAAAAAGTTGACTAGCCTTCTCAAGCCCCAAGAAATGACTATCTCTGCCATGAAGAGGCTAGAAAACTAGAAATTGATCACTATGGCTTGCCCTAGGTGTGTTCTTACAATTAAAGAATTCGGACTCCTAGATCCTGTCTATGCCTTTTCCATAGTGCTTAGTTAAGTTGCTTGGGGGGCACGCTAATCCCAATCCTTTGCGAGGCTATCGACCTGCAAATGGCATGGCCGCTCTTCGATTTGCACCGATTAGATTTCCGTAAAGTAGGAGAGGGATAAGGGAGAATGGGCGAGAAGAAAATGAGAGATCAATGAAGGACATGTAATCTTTGGTTTCCCTTCTGTATGAGTTGGAGTCCTATTCCGGATTCGACGGTGTCGGCTGTTTTGTGACTTTGGGATCTGAGACTGCCCTGGAGTAGACGGACATCAAAACTAAGCAGCACACAAACGGTGGCAATACCGGAAACGGAACGTGAAAGATCCGTCAAGAGAAGAACTGGATAGAAACAAAGATTGATTTATGCATATCCAACTAAAACCGGAAGAAATATAACAACCCATAAACCCGAGGAACGAAAACCAGGTAACCAGGAAAGAATGCCAAAGAAGGAGACAAAAGACAAGAGAGAACAAATAATCACCCCGCTAAAAAAACACGAATCAGACATCGAGAAAAACAATGGAAGGCCAGTCGACAACCTGGTCGAGTGTGTCTAGCCATGAGCTCGATGCAAAAGAGAGAAAAACCGTAGAGCTTTTGCAGCAGGCAGGATGGGACAAATATGTACAGATGAAGGACCAATAATGTCTTTTGCACATGATCGCAATGAGCATTTAGCCATCAAGGCACAATGCACCAAAGCCAACCACTTAGAATTGAAGTGATCACCAAGTTTCCTTGAAAAAAATGTCAGCATAGCCCCCAAAACATCAAAACACATCAAAACTTACAGCAATGTACTGCCCAGCCTCCTTCTTCCGCTGCCAGAACATATCGGCCTCTTGGGCATTGAGATTACCCTTGGCCATAGCAACCTCAATAAGAGCAGCCTCAACACCCTCACCCATGCCCTTACCCGAACCACAAACAAAGACACGACCATCAAGCGAGTTGATAACAAACCAAACAAGATCAGCCTGGTGTCTGACCTCCTCCTGCACATAGCGACTCTCGCCCTTGCGGCTCTGCACAACAGTGCGCACCTTATCCTCATGCACGCCCCACTCGCCCGAGTAAAGCTCGTCGAGCAGCGAGTCACGCACGCCCTGCAGAACCCAGACCTTGTTGGCGCAGTTTGCAGACTGGAGACGGCGCTGCACAAAGCCGCGGAAAGGCGCGATGCCAACTCCAGCGCCGATGAGCAGCATTGGGCCGTCAGAGGCAAAGCGTGTCGCGAGCGGGTTCGCCATCAGTCCTCGGAACATGGGTACGTGGAGATCGAGTTTCTCGCCGGAGGCTTCGGCCGCAATCGCTCGCCGCGCGAGGGACTCTAGGTACCCGGATCCTACACCTGTGCGGGACCCACCGCGCCAGTCATCGGATTCAGCGACTGTGACGGCGACTTCGATTAGGCGTCGGCATTCGGTGCCTTTGTATCGGCAAGAGATCTGAGGATCTTGCGAGAGGGAGTAGAAGCGGGGCATGAGGGTGTTGAGGACGGAGAGGAGGTGGTCGAGGGGTGGTTGAGAGCTTGAGAAGGCGGTTAGGAGTTGGGTGAGGGAGACGAAGGAACTTGTGCGTAGGTCGCAAAAGGCGCCTTGGCCTTGGGCTGAGGAGAGGTATTCGAGGATTTTCTTCTCGTTTGGCTCGCTTGTATACTCGGCGAGGAGACGGAAGAGTGGCTTTGTTGGGGCGTAACTCTGGATGTCGGAGCACCAGCTTAGAACTTCGCGACGGGTAGTGATCAGTTCGCGGGGCTTGTCGTCGCCCCAGATTGTTGGCCAGCGGCCGTTGGTTGTGCGCATGAGAATTTTCTTGTCGCGCATGGACTTTGGTATACCTAGGAGGTTGAGGACCTCTTCGACTTCGGAGTCCTTGTTCTTGGGACACACGCCAATTGCACCGCCAACTACGAAGTCAACCATCCCGCTTTCGGCGGGGTAGTCGGTGACATCGATATCAAAGTGGTAGGTACGCTTCTCGGCGCCAGGCCCTGTCAACTCACGGGTGTGGAACAGAGGCGCACGGTAGACCTGGTAAGGTGGGTGCGGCTGCACGAATTCAGGCGGGTGGTCTGCGGGGCCAAAGGTCATATCGGCCGCCGATGCGGGGGTCGGCTTGAACGAAACGGTCTTCTTTGGGAGAGGGGCAATGTTGGAAAGCTCACTGTCCATGGTGAGGAGATCGAGGTTCAGCTTGAGACTATCAAAAGCCTTGTTGCCAACAGGTCCAACGATGGAATTGAAGCCTGAGATCGGTCCATCTACAGGGCGCAATGCCTGTCCCCGGCAGCAACCCCCACCACAGCAGAGGGATTGAAGCTTCTGAGTGCCCGCTGTGCCCACATTCTCCAATACCCTTCGCATATCATTTGAATTCTGTGAGATGAGGACAGTTGATGCTCGTCGCCGTTGCCGACCACCGTCCACTTTTTCCTCTGCATTTTCTTCCTCGGATTGGGGCTCGGTGGATGGTGTCAGAGGGGCATCGGGAGAACTCGAGCCGCTCGATACAGTACCCTGGGAGGAGCCCGAGGAGATGACGTTGAAATTGGTATCGGTCACTGAGAGCGAACGCACACCTCGAGGCTCTTCCGGAATTGGGTTATCGGGGTGGGAGGTCGAGGACACTGGGATTTCTTGATAAGTGCCTCTGCGGGGACGAGAGTCCGTTGAAGCAAAAGTCGCCGACGGCATGATGGATTGAACGGCGTGAACTACATTGATAAGTCAGAAGGTGAGTCTCGACGATTTGATTGGGATTGAGTGTTCTCCGCATACCCATGAGGAAATTTGGAGGAGAGATGGGAGTCACTGAAGAGTTGCACAAAAATCGGCGCAACGAGGAAAGACGGGGGTATATGAGTCGAGAAGTGACACTTTGAGGGACGTAGAAAGCCCCTTTTTTTGCTTTCTATGAATAGAGCATGGAAATAGAAGAGTGGGATGAGGGAGGAGAGCGTGGACCCGAAGAATGGTCGGGACGATAGTTCCGTTCAGATAATCGGAAAAGCGAAAATGACGGTATGGGAATGAGAAATACACGGTCTCACAGCGTTGAAGATCGGAAACAGAACAAGGATTTTATCAGATTCGCCACATTCTTCGTCACGGTATGTTACACGGTCGGTTCCGGCATTGATATTTTACACTGTATAAGAGCTAGAATAGGAGATCTAGACTAGAGTTGATCTTGAATGTCAGCAGTAATAAGGACTCGACTACTGGATATGGCGTTGACTCCATTTGGGGTCATCGTATCCATCCAGATCGACGGTGCATATGAAGGTGAACTTGTAATTTACTCGTATTTGGTGGCGTTGAGAACAGCCGAGGAAAGTCCCGGCTGGCTATTAATCGGAACGATCATACGTACTCCGTAGTAAGATGTCAGATGATTGCAATTTAAACTATTATTCCTTTAACCTACATCTTACGTTTACAGGGGTTCTACAGGGATAATTTAAATTGCAATTGCAGAAAAAATGTATGTTCCGGGGTGGGCCGATAGAAAATGTTGAATATGGAACATGGAACACGTGTAATGTTCGTAACATGACAATACCATACACATTACCTCGGTTATCAGATCAATCAGATAGCAAAACGGCGGATTTGTCCGCCTGTTCGAGTAATCAATCCCATCTGATAACCACCACTTTACATCTCCACATGTAAGCATGTGTTCTCTCCCAACCGGGGCAATCCCGGAAAGGGGTTACTTGTATTGCAATAAAAATCCCCTGACCCCAAGCCTCAAGCCCCCCATTCTTGCAAAATACGAGATGGATCTCTCTCTATACGACTCCCCACTTTCCGACCAGCCGGACCTAAACCTGTGTATCCTGTTGGCCCATCACAGCTCTCTTAGTCTACACGTCCCTAACCCTCGGTAAATCAATTTCCCAACCATTTGGTCCAAAGTGGGGATGCCAGGCCAAGATCAATCAGTGGGTCAGGTTGAATGAGCTAGGGATGTTCTAGAAAAACAGTAAAACAGATCATCCCTGGAGCTTTCAGCCTGAAAGATTCGCTGGTGGACTGGTTGGTAATTCAATAATCATACGTAGCCTGAAACTACTCCCTGCCGATATCGCAAGCTAACTACTCCATACATAGCTCATATCCGAGACTTTTTGGTGTGTCACTAAGTCTCTATTCTATGTTCCGTACCAATTATGGTGCTGTTGGATTGATCCACTCTATCTTCTTTGTCACGCCGGGTAAGGAGGCCGGGGTTTGCATACAAAGGAGTCCTGAAGGTTATAAAGTTTTTTTATTTTTCAAGGGGAAAACCCTCTAGAAGGGCTAACGGGTTCCATCTGATAACTTAATTTTAATGCCGATGGCTGAATGGTCCAGCCCTTGCTCTTGAAAGTCTTCGAGACATCTAAATCGAGTAACTATCCCCATGAATAGGGGTGGGCGCCACGTCATTATTGTACGAGTCCGTTTGGACAACATGAACGAAATAATGATACTCAGTAATGATAAAAGCACAGTCTCAAGATCATACCTATATACGGAGTACTTCACGTCATCACATCATCAAAATAAACAATCCCTCCAACAGCCAAACATAGACAAAAATAAAGATTAATAACAGAAAAAGAAAAAAGGCATACACTTCAAGCCAATCAAGCATGATCTTAACTATTCGCATCCCTCTGAACCAAAGCCACAGGCGGAATAAAATGATGTTTCCCCCGAACTAAATAATATATCGTTGCAGATCCAACGATGCCAACATACATCGCCACGCTCCAGTTCATCGTTTCAACAGTTACTTCCGTCGTCAGGGGGAAGAACGCAAAGACATAAAGCGGACAGAGGAATGCCAACGCCCCAATATTCACCGCCATGCCAAACTTCCCAAGTGACCACCGGTGGTGTGGGAGCGGCTCGCCCCGGACCCGTTTTAGGAATACGCACCCGATAGAGATGATATACGCGGACAACAGGGACGTTATGGTGAGTGAAATGACCGCGTTCAGAGCGACCTCCGACCCGATGTTGATCATCGATAGTAGTACTGTGATGATCAGAGATACCATCACGGAGTTGAGTGGAATGTTCCAGCCTGGTGTGACCTAGTGGTTACATATTAATACAGCTGAGGTTTACACATCTTATTTTTGATGCCAGGGATTAGAAAAGAAAGAAGACGTGGCTTACATATGCAAAAAAGGACGAAAAGGGCAGCCCCTCATCCCGCGCAAACGACCAGAGCTGGCGTGATGCCGTCGCAACTTCGGTGATTGTGCTAGCGGTTAGTGTTACCACCAGCACTGCTGTCATGGCGTTTGTAGCGGCGAAGCTACCCGTGGTGTTGTAGAAGATCTGAATAAACGGGAATCTCGTCGGAGTGTCGAGGACACTGTCGACCTCGCCTAGTGTGAAGCATAGTGTGACTAACATGATGAATCCCAACACGCCGTTGACGGCAACAGAGGTCATCATTGCCTTTGGGAGTGTCTCTGATGCATCTTTGATTTCTTCGGCTTCTGAATGTCAGCACGATATGACAGTTGTAAGGTCGTTCATAGAGTTCTTTCTTACACATATGAACCGAGCAATCATAACCAAGCATGGATGTTATGGTAGTAGATAAGCCGACCAATGTTGCCGTCCCAGAGCTATCCCAGCCACCCCCGTTGTTGAACGTGGTGAAAACTGCTTTCGCATTGTTGCGTGGTGCGAGCACCCACAACGGGATAATGATGGCGAACACGCCAACAATATGAATGATCAAAATCAGCCCTTCCACAAAGGGAAGATTCTTGGCTAGGAAGGTGTTGAATAAGATTGAGAATGTCGAGATGGCAATTACTAACATGGTCCCATGCCATCGCTGGAAGTCATAGTCCGGCTGGTTCAAGACGATCAGGCCTTGAATGATTGTGCCAGCGAGATAGGCGATGGACACAATGGCGCATTGCCACCCCATAGCAGAAAGCCATCCTGAGATGATATGTTAGCTAATTAGACTTAGACAGGGACTATTTAGCTGTATTACCTGTGATATAGCTGAGATACTTCTGTCCTCTCTTTGGTGCGAACTCCGACACCCAATGATACTGACCACCAGCAGTGGGAGCCCTAATTGTCAATTCATTGATTAGCGGCCGATATGGTCAGGGGAATCAACCTATCAGTCACATACATCGAGGCCATCTCAGCAATGCTGGCATAGACAAGGGTAAACCCAATTGTGACGCCGACGAACCCCCATATCAAGCCCGCTGTACCGCCGTCGGTCAAGCCAGCCGCCAGCAATCTATTAATGGAATTAGTGGTCTGCATAATCACCATATGCAGGGACTAGCACGTACGTCAAGATAACCTCCCATGTGCAGATCAAAGTACATCCGAATCCAACAATAGAGACGAACCGAAAGTTTCTCTTCGTGATGTTAGCAAGGTTAACGCGCGACCGAAGCAATAAGAGCGGAGCAACTTACTCGCAGAACCTGCACTCGACCAAGAGCATTCATATCACGCCGATCTGCCAACGTGCCCATATATCGAGGCTCAACAAGGCCTTTCTGCGCATACTCCTCGTCAAGGCCAGTCATCGTCTGTTGTGAGTCAGGTCTGGACCTGCTGAAGACCGTCATGATCGCGCGTGTGACTGAACGACTAGATAAAGATCTATTTAACAAGAGGCAGGGAAACTCTCCGCAAAGAAATAGGGAGTTGCGAGAATTAAAAAAAACCTATATCGCCTGGCAACTCGACGCTCGAAGGATCTAGGATGCGAAGTATAAAAGCGCCCAGCGACCAAAGCACCCCCTATTGAAACCAACAAAAGTGGCTGTAACCAGAAGAAGCAGGTATCAGGAGAAAACCCAAAGGACTGGAATCATGACGGCCACTGAGTTGCCGGGGTTGAAGCGTGGTATTGACGTGGGAGCAAGGCATGGCTTGGGAAAAATTCTGGCGGGCCATGTGGGAGAGAACAACTCCTCGGAATACTCAAGCAGTGATCCAAATGACACATCGTTCTTTGTTCTAGAGTGCTGCATCTAATCTAATTGGGAATGGGACTGTTGGAGCTCATTTTTGGAGTTCGATATCCCTTGTCTGTTACCCAGAATGGGGGACATTGCCGCCTTGCATGCCAGGGGGGTTATCGATTCGTTTCTAAAATTGGGAGAAATTGGAGTTTGGACTGACTATTGGGGTTGTAATGCTACTTTAAATCCTTCTATGCTATCACTGTTGTATCTAAATAATGACTTGTTTCTCTCTTTTACGACCACACTCACCAAAATGATAGACAACAGAAAGTACAAAATACAAACAATCCTAACCCCTTGAACAGACCTGGCACTACTACCCAATACATTTCTGATGCATCACTCGCGCTAGCCCTATTAATCCCTGTCGCCCATCCCCTCAATACTTATCCCCCAGACGATTCCGCCACACTCCATGCCTGCCTCGAACCAAATGACGGGTGAATGCATAAACCCCTCGCTTTCTTTGCCCAAGAGCAAACAATATGGCCTATCGGATTACAACCTCCCAAAGACCCACAGCCTAATTCTGAAGGGGCGCACGCTGATCGACGACCCTACAGCGGGCCGCCGTGCTCTAAGTGTGCCCACGGCGAAGTACTCTGTACTACGTCAAAGTTCGACGTGAGGGAGAGAAGGCAAATCGACATTCCAACCAGATGACCTGAACTTACACCCAAATGACAATAATTGCCACCATTTATGCCCTCCATTAGAAGAAAGGGATAGACCCGCCATGTACATTCGAATTCCCCTCCAGCATTCGCCCACATCGAGCGAATCCCACAAGGCCTACTTACGTACATACCTGGACTCACTAGTTCATGTTTCTATCGGGTATCGGCATATGATCTCCAAGACAGAAACCATCGCAATCACAAGCGCACCGTAGGAGAAACGGAAACTAGCCCAACCATTATCGCCGCGCCTTGACGGCCGCATATCTCCTGCTTCGGCTTTTCTACACAATGTATACAAGCGTCTCGGTCTTGAGTTAACCCCCTTTTTTCATGTTCATTTCTGTCACCCCCTCCAGTCCACATGGCTCCTAGATCTGACAGCCTTCCACGATCGCTTCTGTGTCTGTGTTGATCAGCGCAACTCATATATACATTCCACATAACACCCCAGTATATCCATCCCTCCGCATGACAACCACGAGAAGGTTACTTGTCTAGAATCTGTCGCTCGTGGTGGCTCCTGCTCCCTGCCCCTTGCCATGGGCCCGTATGTGCCGCCAGGCCAGTCGCCGCCCTTCGAGGTCGTCGATGACTTGCACCATGGTGCATGGCTGATAATTACTGCTGCGCTGGGGCTAGTTGTCTCCCTCGTGTGCTTTTTGATTCGGCTGTACGTGCGACTCATGCTGATTCCACCTTTTGCACGCGATGATTGGGTTTTATTGGGTGCTACGGTGAGTTAGGGCTTGAAAGTTCGAGTCTAGCTTGGCTCGAATAGATGGATTTCTTGAGCACATTGCTGACATATATCATTGAAATTGCTATACAGGCTATCGCTGTGGTGCAATCAAGTCTTGTGTTTTATGCGTGCTCGCGCGGATTCGGAACTTCTATATCGTTATTGAAGGATGGCCGACTAAATCAAATTCAAGCTGTAAGTTGTGATTTGATATTATATTGCTTTATATCAATGGACCCAAACTGAGAAGCTACCTAAGTTAATTGCAACAAGCGATATCATTGCGCTGATAATTATCTACCTCTCCAAATGCTGCGTTGTGGCTATCTACCTCCGCCTCACGCCACAGAAACCACATAACCGCGCATCCTGGGCGACCCTAGCTTTGTGTACTGCTTGGGTTATCCCGGCTATATTCATCGTCCTAGTCAACTGTGAGCTAAACACACCGTGGCGGAGTGACGGCGGACAATGCACCGACTTGGTATGTAAAATCAGCAATGATATATACCCTCACCAAATCCCCGAAGCGTCTCTAATCTTGCAAGAGTAGTACATACGATGGCAATTCATCGCTGCAGTCGACGTTATAACCGAACTCCTCCTCTTCATCCTAGCCGTGGTCCTCCTAAAAGGCCTCTTCATGTCCGTTCGCCGCAAACTAGCCGTCGGCTTCGCATTTATATTCCGTTTTCCGTGAGTCAAACGCATTTACATTCGCATCCATATCCCACTTCAATCCCAAAACCAACACTAACCGCCCAATCCAAGCCTCATAATTTTCTCCCTGGTCCACATATCAGCCCTCCACACCTCCCTAAATAGCACAGACACTACCCTCGCTGCCGTCGAACCGACAGTCTGGATGCAGGTCGAACTCCACTACGCCCTAGTGGCATGCAGTGTATTCTGTCTCAGACCTTTCATGGCAGCCGTCAGCACAAACTACGGTACGGCGGGCGACTCGACACTGGAAGGTAGCGCGTCGAGATCAAACGGCACGAAAGAAAGCTCGAAGACCGGATCTGGCTCGGGCTCGAATTCGAACACCGCTTCGAGATCCTTATCACAATCTCGCACACAGAGGAAAAGAGCAGGTACGGGATCAAAGCTGCCGATGGTGCCTCCGGCCGCTGGTGGTTCTAGTTCTGGCTCTGGTTCTGGGTCACGACTGTCGGAGATTCATGGCCCAGGTCGGAGTGCTCCGTTATGTCTTGATGCCAGCCCCCGTGCACACGGAGCACTTGGAAATAATCAAAGAGATGGGGATAGTGGCAAGTCAGATACGGTGCGGGTGCCAATGCGCCGATCGATGTTCCCGCTCAGCGCACCGCGCAAGAAGCTGAGCTTTCAAGTTCCGGAAAGAGGGAAGAATGGCGCGAGGAGTGCGTCTGGGGGGCCGTTTACGGTGGAGTCGGATTTGATTGAGCTTGTTCCGAGGCCGCATACGCGGCATGCGAGTGAGGTAACCGATGGAGGGGATGCGGAGGGGACGGATAAGATGGTTATTCATAAGGAGATTCGGTACTCGATTCAATATGAGGATGAGGAGGAGCTGAGGAGGCGGGAGGATTCGAAGATTAATTCTGTTGATGTTTCTGCTTATGTATAATCTATTTTGTATTATGGCTTCTTGTATGTAATATTGTGCATAGATAAATCGGGGATTGTGATATCCTTTGCTCTGATGGATGTGGAGGAAGTAGATGCTGCATATGATATTGAAAGCATTGATGCATGTAACGCCGGTCTTGTCGAATCAAAATAAGGTAATGCTGATAATAAAAGCTGTACATGAAATTTTAATATTAGAACGCTTCAGTTTGGCCGCTTGAAAGGGTGGGCTTCGGTGCTCCTAGAAAGAGAATTATGAGCTCGTGAAGACAGGATAAAAACAGCTGGGAGCAAACATACAGCACATAGTCGTCCAGACTGATATGATCTGGCTCAGAAAAGATGAGATAGAGGTACTTCAAAGTCTCGGCAAGCCAAAAGCTTTCCATTTTGTCCTCGTGTTTCGGTTTTGCGTGACGCACATCGTTGATAGACGAATGGCCAAATTTAGTTCGAGTCGCCTTATCAATGTTCTTGAACATGCGCCACGCGGAGTCCTGAAGAGTCTTATCTCCAGTAATCCGGTACATGACGAACAGGGACTCGATAGCTTCAGGTCTAGACGGGTAGTATGTTAGTGAACTGCACCTCGAGGAATGAGATAAAGCCATACCTGAGCTTATACGATGCATCTGGAACACTAGTCACGCCTGGCGGTAGATGCTCAGCCTCGATGTGGTCCTCTGCTTTCTCGCGGTCCTCCTCAGTATCAATGGATTGTGATATGACATCTGACATCCACTGCTCTTCATCCCATGGACAATCATCAATGTGCTCGCAAGGACTGACTTTGAATACCTCCGGCATAATCCCTGTAGGCATAACATCGTATGCCCAGACACAGCCATCAGTAAGTCCCCGGGCAACGTACATATCCTCCGGCCGGTTGAAAACCTTAGCTCCAATAGCCACGGTGCCACCCATGAAGCACTTGAGGTGATCAGGCGTGTACTGGAAGGTCTTTGTGTTACCCCGCATTGCAATAACGTTAGCCGTGAAGAGAAAGTGCTGATCCTCGTCCTGGGTCATTCCTCTGAATAGTAGATTCTCGTTGAATGTTTCAATGGCTTTTTCGTACATCCGGTGATATTTGTCCGTCTGTGCGCCCAGAAGAATGTGTTCTTTGGGCAAGTACTCGTACGCGGAATCGGCACATCCCCCAATGGTGAATTCGGAGTTGTCAAATGTCATTCGGTCGGTGTCAATCCATGTCGGCCACATGCCAGGCATTCGGGTCTTGTCTTGTCCAATCTCGAGCTCGTTCATAATTCGCTGAACGGCATCGTAGTACTTGGGATCCCCAGTTAATTGGGTTAGGCGAGTGAATTCCATTGTCAAGGAGCCCATTTCCGCTAAGCTCGTGCGTGACGATGGTGTGATTTCTTTGCCTTGGGCGGATCTAGGTATCGTCAGTCCCGAATTCTTGTTGCGTAGCGTATATTTTGGCATACCTAGTCCACTCCCAGCGCACTTGGGGCATGCGGTTATGCGTATCAAACGCATTGAAGATCATCTCGCCCAGTTCGACAGCCTTTCTCAGCAGGATAGGGTGTTTTCCGTCGGTCAGGTCATGAGCAGCAATAAAGCCACCCATATAGCGAATGATGATTTCAAAGACAGGCACATGCCCGCTCTTAGTCGTTGTAAAGTCAATTTCTTCCAGAGCCTCCAGAGCCAGCTGCAGCTCATCATCCAGTCCCATAATCACAAGCGCATCTAGCGAATCGACAAGCGTGGCACCCCAGCCATTGAAGGTATCCCGGTACCCTCCAGTGCGGGGTTTCACCTCATCTCGCATCCACGCATGATCTTTATATCCATTCCATGAATGAAGAAACGCCTCCTTCACAGCATCCCGCTTCTTGAGTCTGGTCTTGCGATCGGCGCGGGTTTCTTTGGGAAAGTCATGCTGGATGCGGGGGATTTTTGCTGAACTTTTTGGCAGTGGGATGTACTCTGCAACGGGAAATCGCTCTGTGACTTTATCTAGACGAATGGCATCATGCCGAACGGTGTTGTCTTTTCTGGAGATTGGTTTTGTTAGGCGACCTCGGTATGTTTGTGTACTAGGGAGCCAGAAGAAGAAAAAGTATGTCGCGACAATGAGAAAGAATGCTGTTGATAAAGGTCGGTTTTTGTGTCTGTTATACATAATGAATGAATGGAGTAAGGGTGTCCCGAAATGACAAAAAAAATAACAAAAGAACGGTCATGTGAAGTCCAGAGAAGGAGTGGAAGGATGTATGTTGTATAAGTCAAATGTAGGGACCAGTAAAGAGGACCGGCATTGATGTCTCAGAGAGAATAAGATCCCTGGCATTTGGAGCAAAGGAGGAAATGGACACATTTTTACGGAGTACACAGTGTGGCACGTCATGGCTTGTGAGAGGTCTCTGCGAAGGGGAATCAGACACGGCCGAGTTCTTTGGAGCTCCATTGATCGTCCTTGGTGGCTTTTGGAATTTAGTGCCAGGCATGATATCGCAGTGGTATAGTTGTAATGATTGGTGCAATTTGACAATGTCACCCCCTTCACACCTGGCCACACAAGACTGCAGGATCCATGCCGTAATGTTATTATTAGAATGTCAATGGTCAAGTCTAGACTTGCGATAAAAGTGCCAAGAGGTTCTTATGTCTCTCGAGGCTGTGCACAGTCTGAGGGCGCCACTAACCCCACTGCGGCCCCTGACTCTCTCTGATGGAGTAAGGGTTGATCTTGTCAATTTTTAGATTAGAAGATCGCACAATAGGAACGTGTGAATATGAAAGCATGTGCTTTGATATCCATATGTATGTTGTAACATGACTTGATATGTAGCCAAGGGAGCCTGAGAACTATCGGGAAGCCGTAGCACTACATACTCAGGTCATTCTACCTTATTTCCTCGTAAAATAACTTCAGCCCTGCCCAGGCCCGCGGGTGGAGTCTAGTAGTCACGTGGATTTCCCAGGGTCCCAAGCACGTGATGTGATATCATGGCCTTGTTTATCCTACTGGACCTCGATAGTGATTACGTAGACACACATAAGATTTCCAAGAGGTTGACTTGAAAAAGAAGCATCCTGCGCAGAAGCACATCGGTTGAGAAGGATGTGCATCAGCTTATCGCCTCGAGCGATGTGATTAAAAATCCATTCTTCAGTGTACTTTTTACCAGGACGTATTGGCTCTAGGCAATGGAAAGACCGTGCAGTGGACATCAACGCGGTAGTATCATGGAGATTCTCTATCACAGACTCTCCCAAGTCGAGGCTGGCTGACCAAAAGGAAATATATATAGAGACCAATTGGGTAAATAAGTGGGTCAAGTCAGGCATATATATTACCGCTTGTGAATTATGGGCGGGTAATTAAGCGTTATATGTACTTAGGGACTGCTACTAATAATGGATCCCTACGGATATAAGGACCGTTTGGTATTCGCTTTCACTATACCATGAAGCGGGGCAGACAGGGAGAGAGAGGAAGAGAGAGGAGGGAAAACGATCTACAATAAGTACATACCAGAAGTGGGGGTATGTAGGTCATTGTTAACAGATCTGCTCTGCTCGGTCAAGTCCGTATGAAAGAAAAAGCAAAGAAAGGAATATAAAACGGCCCATAAGAATCCATCCGAGGCGCGCAGAATGCCGATATACCATTGAGAATCAACTAACTACCTGATGTCTGCGCTATATATCGTTTGAGCAGAAGTTTCTACTGGTAGGCAAACACCAAAAAAAGCGTATTTTGCCTTCCAATAATAAGAGATAACAGGTGGAGACCGAGTAAAGCTCACATTTAGCCAAAATTGGAGGGCACCATATGTTCCATGATATCTTCTCCAATTATCTCAGTCTCCCGAGGGACCAACTCAGATCCAGTCTAGGACCACTAAGATTTCCGCGAGAATTCACGTAGTTAGCGAATCTCTCAGGATCTATAGCAGTTGTATCACCCATAATTCATCCTCAGATTTCGAAGAATACTGGTGACGCGAAGAGCAGAAATATCGTTCTTTTATATTTCAGCCAAGTGAAATTAAATCGAAAGAAGATGAGGTTCTCACGTTGATGAATCAGAATGAGATTTACTATAGGATATGAAAGCTGCCATCAAACTACATTTCCGTCACTGCTATATGATCTGGAATAGTCGCAATTTCTCCACTCTGATTGCAAGCAGCAATGCGAGCAATCTCGAACACTTCATGGCTGGTATTTTAAACTAGGCGTGTCAAAGGACTTCATGAGCGAATCATTTCCTTGATGGGTGTTTTTATGACAGACTTTTACCTCCCTGTATGAGTGTGCATACAGTGGTGTCGGGCCAGACAGCGGTTAACGCTTGGAATGAATGTAGTGGAAGGGTTTACTATCGGTGCCTTCAAGAGCTAAAGATCGAAGATGAAAGCAACATTGGAAATGTATCAATGACTTTCAATATTGCAATAAGATAATTAACAAATATCTGTGTTGAAAGGAAAGGACTTGGTTTCGATGCTGGAGGTTGAAGTGTTTACATTAGGTGTTTGCTCTGTTTGCACCCCGATGTTATATCATGCCCAGGCTTTCATTTGGAGGCCGACCACTTGATTCCCCAGAACAACCTCGTATACATAAAAATTGTCCAAAGGTACCGGATCCTTCTCATTATCAGTGCTTATACTAATCAGACTATATAGATTGCAAAGCTTTCATCCGGTTGGGGAATCTTCTATTATCATTCGTCTGACGTTTGACTTGATCATCATTTTTATTGACCGATCTCTATATCTATATTGCATGGTCGCGACCTGATACACAGTCTCTGAATCAATCCTCCAACAGGACTGAAGACCACCCGGGAACTTATCACCGCGATCTTCTCAACGCGTCAATTCCCCAATTGATATTGCTCAGCCAAGCACTACATTGACCATTAATCCCATCTCTTCGTCTGCACCTGCTCAGAATATAAGAAGAAAACAAGCACAAAAAATGCCTATCACAGGGTAAAACATCCTCTTCCAATCC